CTCGAAGGTTCCCGAGAGCTCCTTTGGACCACGTGACCGCCCCACGGCCCCCGTCCACCGGTGGCCCCCCTCCAATATCGTCCGGTCACGTGACAGGTAACCCTGGCTGGCTGACGCTCCCTCTCGTTCCCTCACCGGGAGCCCACACTGCACACTGCTTGCGGTGCCTCCGCGCTAACCAGTGCTCACCCAAGCCCCGCTAGGGCTGGTGGTACTACACCCCGTAACCCGGGCTGCCCGTAATGACAACACATTACCGGCCGTGGCTTCGCAAGCCCCGGCACCATACAGTGACAAGCACAGTCACTAAAGATGCTTCCACAGAGTACTTTTTCACTCGTGTCTTGATAAATTGGCCGCAGACATAGCAGAATGCGTCTGCTTGCAGACTCTTGATGATAATTTCAGAAAAATGCATCTATGTATCCACTTAGGCAGCTGGAACTAAACTGAACTGGTGGGCTTAAGGCCCCTATATTTATACTACTATTTATATTACTGAAAAGTTCTAGAATGTTCTAGAAGTTACTCCAAGTTTACTTAGAACTGAATCTATCTGGAATGTTCTGGAAAATAGGTAAATTTTAAAATATCACTGTCCTGGTCACAAAAGCAAAGTTTGTGGGGAATAATATCCATTTTCTGTGCTTTTGAGGCATAAGCAATTAGGAAATAACACTTTCTACCCAGGAACAAAAGAATAAATAAATTGTTACACAGTGCAATCAGCAGTTCAGCATTTTTTCAACATTATTGCACTTGGGAGGAGAGGTGATGAAATTGGGTTCATAATGGTTGGCAGTGGTCAATCTTCCTACTAAAAAAGGGATGACCTTAATTCCGTGTATTATACAAATGGCAGATAAGCCCTCGAGAAGTTGTTAGGTAATATAAGTTGGTAGGTGCTTTGAAAATGTTTGCCAAGCTATTCTATGCAGAATTAGAGGTACCAATATATAATTATGAAATACACGTGGACAGCTTAAATCACAATACAATAAAAAAACAATATTACTGGGTTTCTAATTCACATTGTGTTCAAATAAGTACCGTACTGTTTAATAGTTGAAAAAACGAGGATAATGCAAATGTATATTTCCTTTAAAAAACATATCTTATTCACAAACAGGATACACAAAGTCTTGATTTTAACCAAAATAACCAGAGAGTAAGATACACAAACTGAAATAATTTTTATTTTGTCAAATAAATGCATTGAGAACATACGGAATAAGAGTTTAAGTAAGAAAATTATGATCAATCCCCCCTAATTATAGTTATAATCAGGATGCGACTGTAAAATTAATTTATAAATCACGGCCCACTATGCCAGTAGTGGCTGTTCAAATGCAAACAAAACCATTCTGGAAATGGTAAATTACTCAACTTATACAAATACATGCGGATCCGAATGAGCTGAGTTATTTCTACTTTGTTTTCATAGAAGCCGAGCGTATGTTGTGGTATAAAATTACTCTTACTTGTATAAGGGCTTGGAAAAAATATTCTGTAATAAATGTTTCCTGCTCTAATAAAATATATGAGCACTTAAATACCATTGTGGATTGCTGAAATAATTCAGTTTGTAATGGAGACCATTTGTAATTCACTGCTGCATCCAGGGTGTAAATTATCATTGTTGTTGTCATGGTAATTAGCAAAAATGGACGAGTCTGCAAAGTGGGTTATAGTTGTCTGTACCTGAAAAGCAGTACTGTTTGACCAGATTAGAGAGGCCAAGATTATTTTGAAAAAAATGAACTTAAGCGATATGGCCTCCGCAGATGGGTTGTAAAGAAAACATGACATATCGTTATATAATAGGAAAATAATTTCAACTTGTAACGAACATGGTAATTGCTCACTCGAGAGCGAGAGAAAAGTTCAGGGGCACGAGGAATCACAGACAATCGAGAAGGCAGTCAGGCGTTCAACCGACACCAACACCTGCTCAAGCTCTGCGGTCCTCTAAATATTAAGATGTTTTCAGCCCATTTCATGAGTGTTCGTGCATGTGGTAGGAAACCGAAGCACCCGGACAAAATCCTATGCGTGCGAGGGAACAACGCTTGTTTCTTATGCAGATGAAACAAATGGAGATGGTTCTATTTTTAAATCCTTTATATTAAGTTCACTTGCTTGCTTGCTTACGACCGTGCAAATCTTTCGGTCGTTTTTTAACCCACTTCCCGTGATCCAATCGAGCTGACATTTTGCACACAGACTCGTTGTGCGTGACAATTAATTTTCGTGAAAAAATGTTTCCAAAATTTTACACTGTTTAGGGAATTTTTTTAAATATTTTATTTAAAATACCAATGTGATAAAAATGAAACTCTCACTCAAGAAAAACAGAAATGAATAATAAAATAAAACCGATGCCACGCATATAAAGGATTTATAGTGAAAAACTTTTTTTTTTACGGGTCAATTTTTTTATTATTAATTTCTGTTTTTCTTGAGTAAGAGTTTCATTTTTATCACATTGGTATTTTAAATTAAATATGACATTTTTTCCCCCTAAAAAGTGGAAAATTTTAGAAAAAAAATTTCACGAAAATAAATTGTCACGCACAACGTGTCTGTGTGCAAAATGTCAGCTCGATTGGATCACGGGAAGTGGGTTAAAAAACGACCGAAAGATTTGCACAGTCGTAAGCGCGCAAGCAAGCAAGCAAGTGAACTTAATATAAAGGATTTAATAAAACCGATGCCACGCATATAAAGGATTTATAGTGAAAAACTTTGTTTTTACGGGTTAATTTTTAAATCCTTTATATTAAGTTCACTTGCTTGCTTGCGCGCTTACGACCGTGCAAATCTTTCGGTCGTTTTAATCCCACTTCCCGTGATCCAATCGAGCTGACATTTTGCACACAGACTCGTTGTGCGTGACAATTTATTTTCGTGAAAAAATATTTCCATAACTTTACACTTTTTAGGAAATAAAAAATTATATTTAATTACCAATTGCTTAATGGTGGCAGGCAATCATCTGACCCATAGGTGGCAGCCATCTCAAGCCAGAGGACGAGAGGACTCTAGCCGCCACGCATATAAAGGATTTATAGTGAAAAACTTTGTTTTTACGGGTTAATTTTTTTACTGGACTGCCTTCTCCTGGCAAGCCAGGGTTATGGCACCTCGACGCCCATGGGAAATCCAGTTGCACAACATTGTGTGATCCACCAACCAAAGTCTCAACAGTGCTGGATGACCGCTGCTGACAAAACACAGTGAGTGATATGCCGTATAGGCTTTAAAAAATAAACCCGTAAAAACAAAGTTTTTCACTATAAATCCTTATATGCGTGGCATCGGGGCGGCTAGAGTCATCTTGTCCTCTGGCTTGAGATGGCTGCCACCTATGGGTCAGATGATTGTCTGCCAACATTAAGCAATTGGTAATTAAATATTTTAAAAAATTCCCTAAACAGTGTAAAATTTTGGGGAAAAAAATTTCACGAAAATTAATTATCACGCACAACGAGTTTGTGTGCAAAATGTCAGCTCGATTGGATCACGGGAAGTGGGTTAAAAAACGACCGAAAGATTTGCACGGTCTTAAGCAAGCAAGCACGCAAGCAAGCAAGCAAGTGAACTTAATATAAAGGATTTAAAAATACACATTTACAAGTTGGTTAAACAAATGAAGCAATCCATCCGAGGGATACAACTCTGAAAGCCGAAACAGAGTATGCATTACTCGGTGGCTATTAAAGGCAGACTGGCAGACACATTATGGAATGAAGTGGTGTATGAGAGCTGGTTTGGAGTGCTACTGTCTTTACGTGCTATAAAGGAAGGGTTATTGATTGACGTTGTTGTGACATTCAATTGAAAGCGATGGTTGTGGATAAAATATAGACTGGACGTAGAACACGTCTGCATACCTTTCAACCCCTTGTCAGTGCCCTATCTTATTACTAATCACCCCGTGCCGCTATAAATCTCAACGTTCATCCTACAGTCCCATCACAAGGGAGAAACACAAACAAATAAGACTAAATTGTTTTCTGTTGTTGCCCGTATTGAAACGGCTGTACCTGAAAACTCAATTTCCCTGTACAAGAATACGGGTTAAACCCTATGTGACAGGTGTGATAAAGGAAGGGTCATTGCCCGAAACGTCGCTTATTTTTACTTGATTTTCCTCTTTTAATAGCAGGTGTTATTGATTCGCGTGTTGAGGGTGTGTTCTGCCGTTGTTGTGACATCCAATTGAAAGCGATGGTTGTGGATGCCATATTCTGTATCACAACTTCTGTAGTTTTGCAACAACGACGACGATTCGAGCGGCGACAGCGGCGCGTTGCCGTGGCGACAGCGGCGCTCGCCGTTCGTATTGAAACCTAAGGATGGGGGGAGGGGGATGGAGGAGTGGGGGGGAGGAGTGGGGGGGGATTGTGGGGGGAGCAGTGGGGGGGGGAGCAGTGGGGGGGTGTGTGGGAGGAGTGGGGGGGAGTGGGAGGAGTGGGGGGGAGTGGGAGGAGGGGGGGGGGGATTGTGGGGGGTGCAGTGGGGGGGGGAGGGGGGGGAGGGGGGGGGAGTGGGGGGGGAGTGGGAGGAGTGGGGGGAATCGTGTGGGGGAGATTGTGGAGGGAGCAGTGGGGGGGGGGGAGAAGTGGGGGGGTGTGTGGGAGGAGTGGGGGGGGGAGAAGTGGGGGGGTGTGTGGGAGGAGTGGGGGGGAGTGGGAGGAGTGGGGGAGTGGGAGGGGGGGGGATTGTGGGGGGGGGTTGTGGGGGGAGTAGTGGGAGGGGAGTGGGGCAGGAGTGGAGGGATCCTGGGGGGGGATTGTGGGGGGAGGATTGGGGGGGCGCAGTGGGGGGAGGAGTGGTAGTGAGGATTGGGGGGGGGCGCAGTGGGGGGGGGAGGAGTGGGAGGGATCGTGGGGGGGGGGGGATGTGGGGAGGAGCAGTGGTAGTGAGGATTGTGGGGGGCGCAGTGGGGGGGAAGTGTGTGGCAGCAGTGGGCGGGGGGAGGAGTGGGGGGGGTGAGTGGGAGGGGGAGTAGGAGGGGTCAAAGGTCGCCGCCGGGCGCGCCATGGCCGCCGCGCACATGGAGCTGCTGTGCTGGCGGGGAGCCTGGGGGCTGCCCTCGGTCGACTCTGGCTGCCTCATCGTCATGGTAGTGGCGTCTTGTTACTACACACACAGCGCGAGCCTGCCTTCGTCGCACGGACACTTCGTGTTGCTGCTGCCGCTTCTGCTTCTGCTGCTGCTGTTAAGGGCGTTTAGCGCCGAGGCTCCGGCATTGCCACGGCCGCTTGGAGCGAGATGGGTGTTGTACACGTGTGGGCCTGCGTTGTGGGTCGCGTTCAACTGCAGCGGTAGTCGCCACTGACAGGTGTGGGGCGGGGTGGTGTAGGATTGTATATGTTCAGTTATGTTCATTAATGAGAGCTAGCCTCCTGATAAAAACAATTTAGCGGCGTTTTTGTCCGCCGCTAATCGCATTGACCGCTAACACATTCGCGCAGCTGCTGGCAGCTTTGCACGCAGCGTGTTTGTATTGAAGTGCGCAGTTCGTGCGCCTCCCGTTCTCGAGGTTGCGTCTTCAACCCGGGGGAGGGTTTCGCCGCGTGAGATTATACATTGAGCAGTGGCCTGTCTAGTTGATACAGTCACGCCGTATTGGTCAAAGTCTGCAGTGCTTACGATGTACTGCAGTGCGAACAGGGCACTAGGGGTGCATTTAATTTCAACGCAACGCTGGACGGCTCCGGTTTCAAGGTTGCACAGTACAGTACTGCATAGGCGGACGGGACTGCGTGTGGTAGCAATATGTTCAGAAGCTAAATGCCAATGCCGAGGTCTGGTAACCACGACAGGAGGGCTTCAGGAGTTAAGAGTTGGTGTAGTTCTGCTATTTCTCCCTTGAAGGAGCGCATACTACGGTTAGTGTTTTACTGTGTGGTCCATAGGGGGCCCTGTTACAGACTACAGTACTTGTGCTTACCGTACTATGGTTCAACGCTAACGCTCCCCGCTTTCAACCCGCATCTATTATAAAAATTAGTTCTATGAATCTCTGTTAATCGTTTGCACCTCCGATTAGCACGGTTGGCTACGTACATAAATACAGACCGACGCGGTGAAATGTGGTCAAATAATCTCCGCGACCAGCGTGGTGAGGACCTCAAACAGCAGTGGATTGACAAAGGGCTGTTCGTGTATTTTGTTTTCTCATTGCACTGTTGGGTTGGGAGAAAAAGCTGATCCTGTATATCTCTAAAATCCAGACTAAAACAAATAAACTCCCTTTAAAGCACACGTTCTAAATTAGTTTTTGAAGCAAATCCTCGTCGTGTCAATAATTACGTATAAGGTCTTGAACAGCATTTTTTTACCCGGGCAGTTTTAAGAACGTGGAAAGAAAATATGAAACTCAACCGATTAAGTGCATTTTCGCCTGGAGTAGCAAGTTTATCTACCACATAAACAAATAATATAAAGCCATTTGGAATACTTAGCTACGTACTTATGGCAGTAAATTATCTTTGCTGCAATAAAAACCCAGAACAAATACTATACTATATTTTAATAATTGCATTACAGTTCCCTCGTTGTTCACGAGGGATATGTTTCAGAGATGTTCGTGAATAGTACATTTTGTGAACAATGATATTGGCCTACGAAAACCTATGTTTTGAATGAATTACCTTGAATAAATATGTAAATAATCTATGGAATACTTGACAATTATAAGCCAATTTCAAATTGTTCTAATAAACACAAATTATGATGATGCTGCCCATCATCACTTTATCTCATCACTTTCATCACTTTTTTTCTCTCCCTCGATGCAGTCGTGTAGAGATCCAGATGCGAATCGCGGATAGCAAGCTCGTGAATAACGAGGGAATACCGTACTGTATAGTGTAATGACATTGATTATTCTTTTGCAGGCATATGCCCATTTTTCCAATGCACCAGTAAAACTGAAGAAAACTGGGAATCCAAGGGAATCTGTGACAGGTCAGTGACAGCATGGTCAGGTCTTTTTCTGTCTTTGTAAAAAAGCCTTTTTAACATTAACATGCACTGAATGTGTTATGTGTTCCATATGTTGTGTTCACAGGATGTTTGCCTATCCTTAAATCTGGAGATGAAACTATTTCCAAACCACTAAATATTCTCAACTGCTTTCGCAAAGAGGTGAGAAAAAGAGCTGCTGTGACAGTGTTTGAGTAATGGTACGTTGGCATTGCTGTCAGAAGGTTTGCTTCAGTCATATAAGGGTAATTATTGCATTTTAGCAGCTCTTAAAAAGCGGCTAAGTTTAACAAAGAAGTGGTTATCCTGTACGCTGAAGATATGGCAAGGATTCGAAGAATGCATAGTGAATTTAACAAGTCTGTGCCTGACTGAGCAAGTGAATATTATCAGCCATCACCCCTCAATATTTATTAATTTATTGACCTTGTTTTAAAATACTCGGCACAGTAGGACACTGTAAATGTTTTGGATATTTTAAGCTACGGATTCATCAATTAACTTGGTGTGAAGTCTTGTTAGCACAGTTATCTTTAATTAGTTTTAATGTGAACATTTTTAACGGTCTTTCACACGAAAATGTAAAATAGATTTAGTAATTTCAAATAAGGCAACATTTTTATGATGTAAAAACCACAATTTTGCATAATGTGCGGGTTAAATATTGCTAATATGACTGTCGTGTGTTGTGAACTGTTTATTTAGCATCAATGTAAAGTATATAATTTAAGAAAGCATTTGCAGGCATTACTACAGGAAATGTTTTTTACTTTTCAGCAATACAATGCAGACTATGACCTTTCTCCTAAGCAAGGGGCCGACACCATGGCGTTCGTAGCTTTGATCGAAGAGAAGCTTTTACCAGCTCTTGTGAGTATATTTGTGGCAAAAATCAATATCAGCCGTGCAGTGTTTACCTGGCAGATGGATATTTTTAATCTACCAAACATGAGACGATCATGCTTACTGACTTGCATAATCAAAACTTGTTCATTACCAGCTTCACACATTTTGGGTGGACGATCAGAACTACACGGGGGTCACGAGGCCGTGGTATGCGTCGACAATGCCGTTCCCATTCAACATGTTCGCGCCATACCGATCCAGCCAGCAGGCGCTAACACGCCTCAAGCTCAGCGTGGGCCGCCCGCCGTATATGAGCCTCGCCGAAATGGAAGCCCAGGTTTGTGAGCCAATGCTGGATGTTAGCGTTTTCCACACATACATTGGCAGCCCACCATGTTATTCTTCGTGTGGTTCAAATCGCCTTTTTTATTCTACTAGGAAGAGTTAAATGAGATCAATCTTGTAGTCATTCCCATCAGCTTAACCATATGAGAGCTCATGATGTGTTTACATGGCTTAATTAAATATTTTATCTTTAATTTATTGCCCATCCAGATATACTGGGATGCCAAGGAGTGTTTGAATCTATTGTCCTTCCAACTGGGTGAAAAAGCATTCTTCTTCGGAGAAATGTGAGTTTATAACTTTTCTAGTTTCTGTATAAAAGTAACATTGGCTGGAAAATTATCGACACAACAATGAATTAAACATTTAGTGAATGATGGTTTAACATAAATTATGTCGATGAAAAGTGTCAGCAATTCTCACCATGTTTGCTACCCTTTGGTTTTTTCAGGCCCTCGAGCTTGGATGCGGTCGTATTTGGTCACCTTGCCCCACTACTGAAAGCCCCACTTCTCACCAAGAAACTTCAACTGCATCTCAAGGCCATTGAAAATCTCTGTGCATTTTGTGAGAGAGTGCTACTGAGGTGTTTCCCTGGACAGGCCCCAGGTACTGTATTCTTCGATGATGCCACACACAGCAGTGCACGACATGCACCTGAAATGTACCGGCAGACTTTGTGGTAAGACAGGTTAGAAGTTGATTACGAATATAAAGAAAATAAACTTTCTACAAGACATACTTGAGTATGCTGTCTCCTGTGCTCGCTATTTAGAGACATAACTGAAGAAAATATAGTTGTTTGCATCACAATGCCCGACGTGAGCTTGAAGCTTCAATTATGAGAAACATAATTGTAATTAAATTTCGATTTAAAGCTTTCGTGACTGCAAGGATTCATCTTCTTGGTTCTTTCGGTAAAGTCACGTAGAAGGGAAATAATAAAATAATAAAAATAAAACATAAAATACTATTAATTTGCGAATGCAGCTGCGATGCAGCTTTATTACTAAAAAAACGTCTATTCTCATTGACACAATTTCAAACTCTTGTCAGACTTGGACACCGCCAAGATATCGATCTACAATAACTGTTTTTGGGGGTTTGTGTCTTCCTTTAATTAACCACAAAGCCTACCATTTTTAAACCAAACTTCACCCAAAAAAGTACACTCTCCTTTTCTCCCTGCACTTTTGTGACTTTTTGAAAGTAAACTTTCCCCTATCAGGGTCCCCAGCAGGGCCCAATCAGCAGGATGCCAAACTGCGCAAACTGACGCAGCTGGTAAACATGGAGTCCAACCTCATCGAAAAGGTGGCGTTGCTTGAGCTAGCAGTGCTGTGTAGTGTTGTCCATTTATAATTTTAAAAATCATGACCCTCATACTATAGCTGCATGTGTTTTTTTTATTTTTTGCATGATTATTTTCCCCACTCCATATGCTTGCCACCTTTCTCATCGTTTCCCTATATCTTTACCTTGCTCATATACATTTCCTCACCTTGATTTCCTCATATTTCCTTGCCTAAGGAATGACCTTACAAATGTGATTGCCTTCAATATTCAACGTAGAGCAATGCATCCAATGTGTGCAGTGTTGGCCATACGTTTGTTTCAGCAAAGGTTAAATATATCCAATGATATCTTCACCACTGTATAATGATGGGTGAACTCTTTTGAAGCAAACATTTAAAGTCCAGACTGAACTTTTTTTAATGCAAAATAATTGTGGTTCTCAAACTTCATGATGACTTCACCTAATTGTTTAAGAAACAAGATTTTTGCAATTTCTCAATTTCATTTGTTTGGTTTAACTTGTGACGTTACATTCGGCAGTCAAGTACATCTGGTTTTTTTAATTATCAAAATGCATCGAATCTCGTTCATTTTTCAGATGGACGGAAACCTGCGGGCGAGCCCCAAAGTGGCGCGGCGGGAGATGTCAAACCCGAGCACGACGGCCTCCACGCCGACGGAGAACGGAGCACCCTCTCCTTTTCCGCTTCCGTCAGCTTAGCGGCTCTCAGTTGCCTCGTCGTTCTCTCAGGCCTGCTGTCCAAGGCCCAGCAGAGGAGCCAGTGTGCATTGCACACGGCGGAGGAGAGGCGATGAAAGATGTCCGCTGCTGGTAAATGTGATCAGGGAGTGTCGATGGTCGTGCAATCAAAAGGTTTGTGTTGTGTACTACGTCTCGGTTAATGGCCTACACAGGGACAAGGTACATGTGGTTCACCGTCCACATAAAAAATATAAATGCGGAGTTTTAAAAATTGCAGTGGTTTATCAGCGAAGCGTTGGCGACCCAGATCATTGTCTGATAATGGAATGTTTTAACTGGAGACCAACTTTATTAAGGTGAAGACATGCATTATTGCTAGTATGTGAAATCTGTTGCACTGGATAGAAATGCACTTTCTCCAATTGAAGTATGCCTAGTGTTTGATCATTGTGCTTTACACTTGTACGGCTTTTACTTAAATACATCGTTACCTTTGTTTAAATTCTATAGATTTATTGGAAATGGCAATTGGTTCTTTATTTTCAATAGCTGGTTAAGATTATTTTGAAATGAAACATTTGTGGTTTTGTGAACCGTTAAACACCTATCCTTAGGTTTTTTCGGTAAAGTCACGTAGGTAAAAACATTAAAAAATAAAATAAAAATCACGACGTTTCGGAGGCAACACAAGCTTCCGTCTTCAGGTGGTACCGTCACAGCCACAACAGCTGTATCAAGTAAATGAGAGATTGCAGGAGTTACCACTGCGTTTATATAATGGTTGGAGAAGGTGGTGGGGCATTGGCCGCATCTTTATTATTAATATGGTAAGGTGAGGCTTGAGACTAAGAATAGACTGCATAACAAAGGCAGAGCCTTATGGAGAGGTGCGGTTTGTGACTCAACCTGTAACAGGGAGACCACCACTAAACATGGTAAAACAGTAATGGTTGTCTGTCTGTTTTTTAATGTTTTTACCTACGTGACTTTACCCGAAAAAACCTAAGGATATGAATCATTGCAGTCACGAAAGCTTCAAATCTAGCGTTAAACACCTTTGAAAGGATGTTTCATTTTTTTTTCTACATCGCATAACTCAGCTTTAAAAAATTAAACTAATATGTTGGTTGGCTCTTCAGGGTTCAATAATGTATTATAGGAGACTCATAACTCGTATTTTGTTTCTGTATATAACTATGTATAAACTTATGTGCTTATTCTGCAAGTGTTATTAAACACAAAATTCACATTGAAATGTTGACAAACTGTCCAAGTTTTTACACGCTTTCTTTTAACTCTGTTGTTGTCGTTGTATCCTCAAATCTTGTAACTCAGTTTTCACCCACTTCCCAATGTGGTGTCGACTGCAAATGTGGTATACTAATGTCATAATGATGACAATACTATATTCTATCATAAAAATATATATATATTTTAATATTCTTTTTTATATGTTATGTTTTTCGGCTTGGGTCCAATTGTCTACGGTCAACTGACGTTGGCTGTAATTGGCCACGGTCCCTTACGTAATGGCAAGCTTCGGGGCCACTTCCTGGAGTCGTGGAGTTCTGCCATTACTCATACATTTCATAAAAGCGTGTTTAAAAAAAAGTTTTTAAAATAGTACTTATTTAGAAGTGTAAATGTTTTATTTAATGACCTGTGTTTTGTAAACTCTTTTTTCCGGTGGCAGTTTTTTTTTTACTCTTAAGTGGTTTCTAAGAAAAAACTACTTAGAACACGCACACAGTATTGTTGTATAGCCGCTTCAAATATGTTTTAAAATATTGTTTGCAATTGCGGTAAAATAATTCACATTTTCATTTGGGTTTAGAAAAAAATTGCATTTATTATTCTGACAATTATCAAGGCGGCAACAAACCCAAGTTTTCCACATCCACTGTGCAAGCAGAACTTCATACTTTTTGGTTCTTTCGGTAAAGTCACGTGACTTTACCAAAAGAACCAAGGAGTATGGATCCCTGCAGTCACGAAAGCTTCAAATCAAGTTCTACGTGAACATGATCATAACACTAGTTGGGCATTTTGTACCAAAAAATAGTGAAATCAGCCAGGCACTCGTGACAATTATGCATATTTTACGAAAGGTGATAAGGTTTTCTGAACCAAGGAGATCACATGATGATGATGCAACTCGTGATGTTCAACACCACCCTTTCATCGGCCCCAGATGTAGGTCTGAATTGAGTGTTCGAGACTCGTGCATTGTACAAATCCAATGTCTGGATCTGACAAGGTAAAGGTGACAGCTTCAGGTGTCCTACGGGGACAACGAGAACGAGAAATTAATACTTTTATAATAAATAAATGAATAACCCGTCCATGAGTTTATCTGGATTTGCCACCAAGGATTTACGCCACAAGATGACCAATGAACTCATGTAAAATACCAACGATAACATTGACTAGTTTTAGCATAATGATGGGGTTTTCTCCGAATGAATACAGGTGTACCCCGATATACATTAATTCGATTAACGGTAATCTGTTATGTGCGTCATGACTTTCGGTTTACATCTCTTATTATATTTGATGCCCCCCACGGGGAGGAAGACGCTCCTCCTGCCCTTCTCCCACCCTCCCAATACCCCCCCCCAACCCCTCACCGTAGCATCATCACACTGTGCACCAGTTTCTGGTTATTAAGTTAATGTACAGTATTTGCTTTGAATTACCTATCTATTCTCCATATTTATGCATTAAATTATATTGTGTTGAAAAGTTATTTTAGTAGATTTTGGGTCTGAAAAATATTTCTCGGGAATGCATGTTAGGCGAAATAATAGGACCTTATGGGAAAATATGTTTCGATATATGATTTTTCACTTTACGTTCAGGTTTTTCAAGAACGCAATCCAAACATAAATTGAGGTGTGCCCATATTGCACTGGAAACTATTCCATGTCTTTGAAATAAAGTGTGAAGTGCGTCCCCTCCATCTCGCCTATATTTTGCCTGATGTCACTCAGGTTTATTTGTACAGTAATTCCTCACCTGTTTAGTACGACCATTACCCCCAAGCCGTCTGGTCGAATAAAAGCAACCATTTCCAGCTTTGTGCTGCCACTAGTTTCCAGAGCAATTCTCTGAGAGCCCTCCGGTATGAACTTGCTGTGAATTGGAAAATAGTAAAAAAATTAATGCCATCATTGATCGCTACACCACGATGCAAAATGAATCAGCAGACTGCCAACATATTCACAGTTTTGGCTTAAGGGGATAGCAATCAAAGTACTTGCCCAGGGTGCAAAGCTGTAAGTGCAATCGAAAATGTATAAATACATAATATTTAATAGTTGTAGCCAATTTAATGTTACGTTATAAAGCGGGCATATAATGGGTCATGCACACATGTCAAATAATAGGTAACAAAAGAAAACATGCCATGGCTATTACCAGAGGTTTACTTTCAAGGGGCATTAAATTCTTTGTTCACCCAGAATAACACATTAGGGATGGGCCTGTTCTACGGTATTTCAAGTTTATCGACGAACGCCTAGCATAGTAAGGATTAATGTTGCCTGTAATTGTTTTACAAACCTGAAATGGGCCATGTGGTAGAATAGGGGCTGCTTGTAGAAGACACCTTTGCTTCTGTCCACTATGATGGGACTGTCCACAAAGTTCTGCACCCAGTTAGGACCTCCCTGGAGGTCTAGTGCTAGGTTCCAGTCTGTCCATCCCACCACCCAGTGGTTTAGATCCTGCAAAACAAGAAAGCGATTATCCTGGCTATTTTTTTATAATCGATACACATTTCTAAACTGCAGCATGATTTTGTATAATAAACGTACACTTGAATGTTTTTTCTCATAAAAAGGGTTCGCACCTGGATGATGTCGTGACTGTATTCATCGCCTCTCTCCCAGCTGCCAAGTAGTACTGCCTTCTCCCAGGGGTTGGAGCCAGCGCATGCCTCAGTTGCAAAGAGAAAGTGCTCCGGGAATAGGTTGTGCGTCAGGCTGAGAGTGGGTTCGGCTGGTATGATGAGGTCAAGGTACCAATGCACTGCAATGCCACTCACGTACTTTGCAGCCTTTGAATCTCCCAGCACCTGAAGTAATTTGATTATGATTAATATATCCATTAAAATATAACGTATCAGAAAACGTAGTGGTACACAATCCTAACATTTCCATTTTTCGAAGTTAATACAAAGAGATTATCGTACATGGCCATAGATCACACAACCGCCTTTGATATTTTCTGCACAAAGCCTTGCAGATTGTAAAGGACAGTTTGTAGAGAAATTCTGTGGTTTTGTTTTACCAATTTTCTCAAATGTAAAAGGTGACGGTTATGCTTTTCTCAAACCCTACATTTTTTGTATTTAAAAAATATTTTTTCCAATTGTATTCCAATGGTGCTATCGGGATCATATAATTCCTGATAACTGATAGCCCAAGTGCACCACTGCATCGTTATATAACGACTGTAAGGGTGATTATGTTATCCGCACTTGTTTGTGCAGCTCAATACCCTACTGTTGCAAGGCAAACCATCAATGTTGTCCTCAGAGCTGGAACTGCACATTTTGGTAAAAATCAGGATATTTTGGTTGCCCTCACTGAAATCATCAACTGATGACACTTGAGAAACAGGTTGAACCACAAGCCATTGCCCTGATTCGAATCCAGAATCTCAGCAGTGCCAACTTGGTGTTTTGTTAGTGTCAGCTAACTGATCCACCCAGCCAACTTGCTCAAATCTTTCATTTTTCAACATTTTGCATCAGAAATAGAATACTTGTCCGTCCCCTTGGATCAACAAAGCTCGACTCACCACTCGTGCCCAAAGCGGAAGCTGTATGCGTTCATCGTCCAGAATCATGAGCTGCACGCTGTGGTGGCGGCTCCCGTGCAGTGCAGGCCCCAGATCCATGGCGATAAAGTCCCGTTGTTGCTCGGGCATGAAGCCGAGGCACTGGAAGGTGAAATTGGTGAACTCACCGTCGGTGGGCTCATTCTGCGCCGTCAATGCCCAAAACGTCAAGTTGTGCTTGGCATACTCATCCAGGAACCTTCAAGTACGGACACACATGCTTAGTATCATTGTTGCAGAAGTATTTTTTTATCACGTGCAAACCGTTCAATGACACTGTGTATTCTTTCGCACCGTACATAACCAACCGTGCTAATCGGAGGTGCGGGGATAGGACAAACTAAACACAAAACGCAGTTCTAAAGACATTAGATTTGAATCTACATTTAAAGGCGCATAGCTCCAGTGGCTCCCTAATATCGGAAGAGCATTCCAGACGGCCGCAGAAGTGCATCGAAAAGGGCACGATGCAGAGACCATCTTTGTTCGATGGTTAGCCAGAATCCACGGTGAGGATGACTAGAGTTTGCGTGATGGTTTATGCTCCTTAACGACTGCCAGTGGTAAAGCAACATACCATAAGTAATCGTAGCACATGTGAACAACTTTCTGGAGGGTGTATATACTTTGAAAATATAAGGCGTTCTCACTTAACAAAGTAGTTGGCCCATGCCTTGTAGTAAACACCTCCAGGCTGTCCCTTGATGGTTCCTTTGCCTGTAAGTGCACCGTTGGTTTTCATCCAAGCAGGCGATGTCCAGGGACTGGCAAACAGTGACACTGGGCGCTGAGACATACTAAGTGCCTGCTTCAGCAGTGGGATCTGCAAATTAAGCGAGGCAAAAAGGAAGAAAAGCTGGAAAGTGCTCATTGGTGGGAAACACTGAGATTGTAATAAAATTTATAAAAAATAACTTTCCCCAACCTTGTACTTAATGTCCTCTTTGGCGAGGCTGAATTTCTTGAGGTCAAAATCATCGGGAGTGTCGGCATAAGTGTAGGGCCGAGTGGAGAAGTCACATCCTGCCATCGGCAGTCGAACGATGTTGTATTCGGCTCCTGGAAAACAAGCAGGGGCGTTACACATGCTGTCATCACAAGAGAAGAAATACATTGAGGGTCAAATGAGCACTGCTCACCGTCTTCAGTGAAGTATGCACGCAGAAGCATCTCTTGAGCAGGCGGTGGAAGACTCAAGATGTTGATGGCTGCTGCGTCAGTCAGCGCACCTCCAAAACCTTTCACCTTTTGGTACTTTCTGGTCGGGTCTAATTTCACGGTCAGGTCTGTGGTTGACAACAAAATGTGCAATCAGCAATTTTAATGTTGTGCTAACCCATGGCGCTGTTCATTATTAGCCATTCACTTGCGTCAGTGTACTTGCACCATTTTACACACTCGTCAATAATGTACTTGTAATAACAACAGTCATGCTCTGACTTTGTATTTTTTTTACTTTGAATTGGCTCTATGAACCAACATTTATCCTCAACCAGCAATCGTGTTGGTTTTGATCGTAACAATGTTCATGGCGATTATGATGACTGGTATCGACCCCCCACATTAGCTGCCGCCGATTGCTATTGCGATGCATGTCACTGCATATCAACACTGACCAGGTTGCGTCTGCTGAGCTTGGAAGACCAAGTTGCTTCGCACGAGCCGCTTTCCGTTGCGGTCAGTCTGGTACAGAGCCACCTGTGCACGTCCCAGCGGCCCCAGTGGCTCGGGCGAGTCGCAGCTTTTCGAGTCGCAGCGGCAAACCACGGAGCTCTGGCCAAAGCTCTGTGCGGCGCACGGCTGTGCCACAGCGCCCCCTGCGGTTGACGGCACGACACATTCAGGGCACGAGGTGGCGAGGACATTACAACAGCATTTCAATGAAAACTTCGTTAAATACCGTATTAAAACACTGTCAAGGGGATCCTGCAATGAGATATTTGCCCACTTTTTCAACGGTTTTACTTAACTTGATTCCTCTGTTTGTCGTGG